GCAATAAAAAGTATCCTATATGTTGACCCCGATAACCAGCTATCACCATACCAAATTTCATCAAAATCCCTCCAGTGGTTTTTCTGTGATGTGATAACAAACAAACATACAGACAGACAGACGGACAGACAGACAGACGGATAGACAAAAATTCTAAAAACTCTAGATTTGGCTTCTGTATCGATATAATGTTTATTTCAATAAGATTTTCCAAAAAATATCTAATGCACAGATTCGGCTTAGTTACAATTTTATTATATGTATAGATTTAATTAAATAGCAATAAAACAATAATCATGTTACGTACATTTTCCATATCCTTCATTCTCACTTAATTGCAACACTGTCCTACTTCTTAATAAATAGGTATATAGTTTGTTTTCGAGGAACTCGTTGACAAGCAATAAATTTAAAATTGTTTATATATGATACATATTTGAACTTGGATGGTTCTTAGTTTTCAAAATATCATCACAAGGTTTTGAAATCATATTTGCTTGTATCAAGGCAAAAATAAAACCTCTGGACAGGTCAAAGTCGAATAATTTAGACATGCAATTATTAATACAAAATATTCTGTCTTCTTTGTATATTATATAGATAAATCACAGGCTTTTTAGATAGGTAAAATATTAATAAATAAAAGAAAATCGTCATAATGACTACACTTGATAAATATCGATACCTAAATATCACAAACATGTTTGTATATTCTTCAAAACTATCGACTCACCCTCGCTTCGCTTGGGTTCATCCCTAGGTACCTTTTAACAGTTAGTATGGAACAGATAGATTATATATGATATATAACCTACTAGCAACAACAACGGCTTCGCTCGCTTTAAAACTACAAAAAAACTATAAAAAAGTAGGTTTCATACAAACTTTCATCCCCTATTTTACCCCCTTATGGGATGAATTTCGAAAAATGTTAAAACACGTATTTATTTAATGGTATTGAAGAGCATTAATACCAAAATTCAAATAATTCTGATCATAAATAATTTTTGGGTTGTATTTTAACGTGTTTTCCCGTGGGAATGATATAATCTCCCGCGGTAAAAAGTAACCTATGTCACTCTCAAGCCCTCCAACTATCTCCACACAAAAAATTATGTCAATCCGTCATTCCGTTTTGACGTGAAAGAAAGACAAACAAACACACTTTCACATTTATAATATTAGTATGGATAGCATTCCTCAATAAAGGGGATATATATAATGCAAAAAGTTTTTTTTTAATTTGGATTAGTAGTTTTTGAGAAGAAGAGTTTTTGAGATTAGCCCGTTCAAACAAACTCTGTCTCTTTATAATAATAGTGTAGACTGTAGATAATTAAAAGTGCTTAAAACATAAATTATATAGAGCATAATTATTGTATTTTTTATGTTATTTTCTTGTATCTAGTAATGTAATAATTTATTGGGTCCTTTAATCCTTTGATACTGATGAAGTAACTACTGCTAGGTACTATCACAATTTGCATCAACGTTGACACATGTTACGTGAATAGATTAGCGAGCTGATGTTGAAAATCTAGGCACTTGTTATTGCAAACAACAAAAAGAGTCGTAATCGTACCCACCGTGTCTTATTTGGTAATTTAAAAGTAATGTTCATCATAGAAGATAATCGTCAAATCCTAGGTTTTGTTTCGTTTTTATTATAGCACTTTGACGCACGCTAGAACAACTTCGCAGTTTCTACAGACACTTAATAGATCCGTTTCAGAAGAAATGTACTGTATGCGTAATAGGTATAGTACATATATTTGTGTTCTGTGTGACTTAACATTTTTAACCGGCTTCAAAAAAGGAGAGGTTATTTCGATATTTTTGTAGATTGATGAACCAATTTAAAAAAAAAACCGATAAAATGTTAAAATAAGTTGATAAAATTGAAAAACGTTATATTTCAATTTATATTTGTTTACGTACAAATACTTTCTGCTTGAGTTTAAAATTAAGGAGTGTTATGATTTGATCTGATTAATGAATAACTGAAAGTAAAAACTACGTAAATTAAAGAAAGTTTTAATATATTTTTTTGAAAGTACATATATAGGTATACTATTCACAGTACGAGTACCTCACTAGTGTTTTCGTAGTATTTTTCCACCTTTTATGATAAAATTATTAATTTTCATATGATATTAAGGTCGGTATAATATCATCTTTACGATAACTTTTTTGTTAAAATATAATTATTAATTAACATAAATCAGAAAAATTAAGAAAAAAAAAGTACAACCAGAAGAAATCCTTTAAAAGTATCTTCATACTATTTTTCTATTGAAAATAAACAGAGAGAATGTGTGGATGAATGGTATCCACTACATTATCTGATATGATATTGCAACAAAATTATTACCCCACTATATGAAATTAATTTGATATTTTAATGAAAACAAACATGTTGAGGCCAAGCAATTTAGAGGCTAGTGAACTATATCCTAACCACTTCTTTAAAATTCACGCAAACATTCAAATTAAAACTTAAACTCTACGTTAATTTTATAAATTACTAGCAATGCCCGCGGCTCCGCCCGCGTTCAGATGACCAAAAACCCATTCTTAGGTTTTACATATTAGTATACTCTTACAATGCAGTTTTTGTATTTTTTCTCAAAAATGAGATATTTTCCCGCGGTAAAAAGTATCCTATATGTTGACCCGGATAACCAGCTATCATCATACCAAATTTCATCAAAATCTGTCCAGTGGTTTTCTCGTGATGCGGTAACAGACAGACAGACAGACAAAAATTCTAAAAACTATAGATTCGGACTCTGTATCGATAATAATATCTATTTCAATTAGATTTTCCAAAAAAATATTTAATGTACAGATTCGACTTAGAATTTTATTGTATGTATAGATAGTTACCATAGAAACCCCTACGGGAACAGCTGTCAGCTGAAGTATTTACTTGAAGTTTTTAACGAACGTCACGTTATTTATATAGATACCTACATAATACATCTCATTTATGTGTCTCAAGCTGTAAACTGCACAACTATCTTTTAAGTCTTCTCGAATAAACTAAAAACATTTAGACTATAACAAGTGTATAAATTCCTTACTTAAGAAACGAGCAATTCTTGTATATATATATACCTATCTCTGAATCTCGGAAACGGCTCCAACGATTTTCATGAAATTTAGTACACAAGGGGTTTCGGGGGCGATAAATCGATCTAGATTAGTCTTATGTCTGAATTATCTAGTCTTTATCTATTATGTCTGAATTATAAGATCAACAATCACAGGTGTCCAGGTTCGAATCTCGGTCGCATACAAAGTTTTTACTTTTATTCTTTTTTAATATTTATTCACGTTTTATTTTAAAATACGCATGATTGACAATCATAGGTGTCCGGGTTCGCATCCCGGTCGGATACAAAGGTATAATTTCTTTTTGTTTTTTTTTTTAAGAAAATTGTACGTTCTAACCAAAAAATCCAAGCGAAGCTCAGTGGCCCAGGTACTATAATCTTAAAATTAAGACGAAACTCTACCTAGTAAGTAGAGTATGGAAACGTTATGATTATATACATATATTAAACAATCGTTTCGTTGGGGTCAAGGATTGAACGCTTGACAGAATATCGGGGTCGGCTACCATTAAATAGGCCGAATAGCCCACTAGAGTGAAAACCGAGATGTCTAGCAATCTGTTGACTAGATAGCAAACTAGGTGCCAATTTACGGTTAGAAGCAAAAACTAGTAACGATTGCGGTTAAACAAGAATAAGAGAAAGGAGATCAAGTATAAAGATAAGCTTAATTTTATCTAATTAACACAATTTTATTGTACTAGTCATTTCGGTACATACTACATTTGGGAAAGATGAAATTTGGTATGATGATAGCTGGTTATCCGGGTCAACATAAAGGATACTTTTTACTACGGGAAAATATATCATCTCTGAGAAATCTTATACTAAACGTTAAAACGTAACTAGGGATGAACCTGAGCGGAGGCAGGGTGAGTCGCTAGTATTCACTATAATATTAGCTTTAATTATATGGTCTCATTTTGGGTGTTTTTTTGTCATTTTCATTATTAAAAGTCATTTTGGATCCGGTTTATAAAGTGATATAATTGCATATTTAAGTTAGAAATATGATCTGCTAAGTTTTATTTCAATTACTCAAACCTTAAGTTCTTCATTCTACATACTCTAAAACAGTTATGTATGTGGTTGCGAATCTTTTAGAAACAAATTTTGCAAAGCCAAGTCAGTAGCTGCAAGGGACTCAACTATAATCATTAACGGCCATAGTTATGTTCGTACGTACGAGTAAAATCAAAATCGATTTCAATTTATTTCAATGAAAACAAAACCGATAATTATTAACAGTGATTGGTCTTTAGAAAACTAAATTAAAATAAATTTTCTTTATACAATAGGGGCAAAGTTTTCAGACAGTAATTATCAAATTGATCCTCTTGGATTGAATTCAAAATGTACGAATACAGATCATTCAGATTGCTTCAGCAATAAATTTAAGTTTCCGTTTATTTATTTGGGATACGTCTTATGTTTGGCACATCTAATTTTGGAATTCGCCAGCACTGTACATTGTCTTACAAAGCCACTAAGTACGGTCAACAACCGGCTATTACTACCTGACACTGAAATCCAATTATCTCTGCCCTAGTAAATATGTCCCCATTATTATCTGTTTGCAACAATAACTTCAATTCTGCTTCTGCTTGCTTTAATTTTAAAATTTTAACTTGATTACTCTTGAAGAGAGATATTTTCGTGGCTATGCTTTTGCACTTATAGATAATAAATAAAAATATATTTAAAATACCTCCTGAAACCTTAAGATAGAACTATATCATATTTTTCTTACTGATAAACAATAACGCACTCGGAGTTTTGTGGAAAAAATGCATTAGATAAGAATGTAATGATCTGTTAAAAGATCACGAGTCATTTCCAGGGGCTATCACTTAAACAATAATTATAATTATTGTTGACACTTACGGCCAAGTGCCCGAACGTCGTTGCCGGTGAGACCGAACTTCTGTGTCAGGTAGAGTATGTAGCAGAGCTTGCGGTATCAAACTCTTCGAACATCTACGTCGGAATCTATACTCTGATCGCTCTGAAGATTTACAACTCTTCAGCGTCGACAGTTCCTCTGCTGAACCACACCACAATGAATCTATTGCCAACATTGTTTTCAATAGAAAATTTACCACATCACAAACATGTAACCAATACACATCAACTCTACAATCGTATTGTATTAACGCATATTTTGTAGAAACTTTACACGTTAGTAAAATATGAATGGCCTTCTATAGAGAATCGTAGTTATTGCGAAATTTAATATATGTAAAGTCCACTCGATTAGATTGTTAAATATTGCAAGACTGGAAATCGCAAACTCCAAATTATACGAGAAAGGCGGATCGCGAGTCGCGGCTCAGCGCACGTGAGAGCGAGCCTGTAGAGACTCACCGACTGACGAACTGACATGCCGGCAAGGCATGTCAGGCGTACCGCGTATGAGACGCTCAAATTAACAAAAGCATAACATTCATTTTAATGATAACAAAGACTTAAATAATCTTTTTTATATTATTTCTAATGTTGGTACGAATTTAAGAAAGTAGAACTGGAACCCAGGCTGATCCAGGTGTACCGGTGCCTCTGGGCTCTTTCAAGATAATTTTGAACGTTTAAAAAATCGCTTATATCTAGATATTTGGTATCATACTTTTAATAATTTTAACTTACTAACAAAACAAATCTACTTGTAACTTGATCACCGTAACATAAGCCATGATGATTAACTCACTCACATAAATAACTAAATTATCACATAATTTGATTTAGGTATAATTAAATTTCTGTAATACCACAGTTTTAAGGAGGACAAGGCCGGTAAGCATGATGGTTGAAAAGTTTTAGCGAACTAATGAAGATAGTAAGGTACATACGTAGGTATCTACATAATATGTGTTTTATTGCGAGAAGTAAAAGTTTTTATAAAATTGAAATATTCGGTGGAATAAAATTGTCTTATTAACAAGTTTGGAGCACGCAAAGCCACTCACTGAAAACGAATTATAATTAAAACAATTCATTGTCCTGGATTCAAGCTCGGTGAAAGTAATAGAGTTTAGTTATTCAGCCAATGAATAACAATGAAGTTAGTTTCGCTAAAAATTGTCGGTCTGAGAATAAAGAAAGCAAGACACAGATAAAATCTTTATGAATACTAGACATTGGTATTTACATATACATTTTAAATTTTTGATTGTTAAATTTTATGCAGTAGTCTTTTTGTTAGCATTCTATACTTAATATTATAAAGAGGCAGAGTTTGTTTGTTTGTTTGTTTGTTTGAACGCGCTAATCTCAGGAACTATTAATCCGATTTGAAAAATTCTTTTTGCATTAGATATAGCCCGTTTATTGAGGAAGGCTATAGACTATATATCATCATGCATGATGCAACCATGGGAACGGGGAGCAGTAATCATAAATGTCAACAAATCGGGCAGACTTCCAGTCTTCCAGTTTTCATTATTGTAAAACTGATGTTTATAATCAAACAAAAACGCGGGTGTAATCGCGGGTCACAGCTAGTATAATAATAATAATAATAAATAAAACAAATGGCCATACTTTATTTGAATTTTGGTAAGGTTACAAAATTATTACTTCGAAGTAATTGAATTGTTTACGGGGCCGCGTGTACGTTAATTTCGGGTGAAATTTAGTTTGTATGTCTTTGGGTCAAGAGTCAATATCCTAAAACCAGAACGTTTCTGGACGATGCTTTTTTTAACATATCTAAAATCTAGTATTTTTTATAAGGGTTTAATAGTTTACAGTTTTTTCATACAGGCTTGTGTGGGTGACACACACGTACTTTGAAAGTTCTGGGAATGTGGTGATCTCTATCCTGGGATCGAGGCCGAGGTCGGGCCAAGTTTAGTTGGTAAGTTTTCAATCAGGAAATTCGCATTTAAAAAGTCTCATTTAAATAGTCGTGAATTAGTAAGTTGGTGGTGTTTTATCCCGTGAGAGCAAGTATCGGTCGGTCCTGCGACTGATCTCTTACCGGCATATCTGCACACGTAAAATTGTAATAAACAAAGTTGTTTAAAATCAAATTTCCTACAATTTTGGTCCATATCAGTTTTCTCGTACGATCGATATTTTTTAAAATCAAAATTGAAAATAAACGAGTTGTTCAATAAACAAAAATTCACTCCCTTTTTTCGAGTATAAATCGAAAAATATCGTACCTAGGAAAAAAATGGATGAGAATCAGTATTGTAGAAAATTTAATTTCAATCAACTTTTGTAATAACTAATTTCAGTGTAAAATTGAAAATAAACAGTTATTCAATAAACAAAAATCAACCCTTAAATTCATGATGGCGGATGATGCAACGGGTCTTACTACGAAAATCTAAATTTAGACTTCCCGTGACTCCCACAATAATACAAAATAAAGAAAATATACATGCATAGTCCATTGTACAATCAAACAAAAATTTGAACATTTATAGCCCAAATATATGTGGCATGAACATATATAATGCATAATAATAATGTGCTGCGCATTAAATAATAAGATTGATTAAATATGTCAATTTTATATAAACATATTTTCTTCTACAATTAATGGTCTATCTAAGACAAAACAAATTTCTTTATCTGTACACTCTTGAGATTTATGTGAGTTGTGAGTGAGTTCAGATTTATTGTCAATAGGTTGTTTATATTTTAACACATCTTTTTTTGATGACACATTTGGCTCTTCTGTAGTGACCCTACTTGCTGTGCTAGCGGTTGGAGTTCTAGTCCCGCTGGGGGCATTCATTTATATTGTCTCGGTTATCTCTCTTTATGTTTATGCTTGTCGTGGTAGCCATTAAGTAGAACAACTTTTACCAATTGTAAAATTCAGACATGTAGTTTTTGTTAGATTTAAGTGTATGTTCTGTTGGCTACCCTTAATAAATAAATAAATATTTATTTCCAATTTCAGTGTTAAAAATAAGTTTGACTTAAAAAACAGAGTAGAAACTTTCCTGTTAATACATACTTTTAAATACATACACTACATACACTAAAGAAGATATCTTGTTGCCAAATTGTTACAAAATATATATACATATTATTATATTATAGTATATTAAATTTTTTATAGTATATTAAAAAGTGTCAAGAATAACAATATATTTTGTATGTTCTTATAGCAGTCATAACAAGAATAATATAGTTCTTAGTGTTTAAATCAATGAGCCCTCTCATTTTATATAGTAGGGGAGTCCAGGTAGGGATTTTAGGATTTACTCAAGCGCAGCAGTTTAACATAAGGGGGGATGCCTTACACTGTTTTGACGGCAGCCAATCAAATTATTTAAAAAATATTTTGATAAGTTAGAAATACATACTTGAAACCGTCAGATTAAGGAGCAAGGACTGTGGTGAGCTAATTACATGCTGAAAAGAAACTTTGTGGACGATTTTTGTTTCTTCGGCTTTTGGAAATAGATACACGAGATAGTTTTCAGTAAAATTATAGAAATCTTTAATAGTTAAGATAGGAATCACATAATAACTTACCTCTCTTCTTCGTCCTCTGTACTTTCTTTACTAGTACTCGTAGTCGGTTGTCTAGATTTACTTCTACTTCTCCTATCCATCTTCATAACACTTATTTATTAATATACGCCATTTAAATATCATAATCATCTAACTCACATTTAATTAAGTTAACAATATTTCATGTAGAATGTTCAATGTTCTTTAATATTTCATGTATTAAAAATAAACACAATTAAAATTTTAGAGGTTACAAAAAAAGTGAACCACAAGTCACAACAAGAAAGACTGTTATGTGAAGTGTCAATGTCAAATGTCAATGATACATTTCATTATCTTTAAAAAATTTCTCAGAAGTACGTTCATTAACTAAAAAGTGAAATTATAAGATGGCCTGCCAAAAATTAGTCTACTTTTTATTTTTTATTTTTTTTAATACTTCAGAAGTATTTAAATCTATTAAATTATGTGTTCTTGTATAAATTTAATTTCAAGCAATCATTTTAAAACACTAGTTGACCCGTGCATTTTCACACAGTATCATGTTCAGTGACAATGGATAACACCTACAATAAATGTATGGAGGTTAGAAGTAAGACGGACGTCTTGTATGGGGGATTAGTTGAAAAAGTGTCCCCTTGTAAACAGCAAATTATTGTTCGAACACTCACCGAAATAGCGCTAGCGTAGGAAATGGAAATGATATGAATTTAGCAGTTATAAACAGAATGAAGTGTGCAGGGTAGATTTTTTTTTTTACTTCTGTAGTTAAGCAATGTGCAGTATTTAAAATCTCAACTATTTACGTAGTCAAACTATAATTTAGTAAATAATAACCTGTGAATCTCCTGAAATAACGTACATAGTGATTAGTTTTTAATGAAATTTTGTTGATACATCTTAGTTATTTTGATGCTTTTATTCTTGTTAATTTCTTTTTCCTTTTTTAATTTAATCCTACTCTAATAATAATTTGTGGCGATCCTTTTAAAATTCTTCCACTTGCTACTATAGCGCCACCTTAATTTGCTCCCTTTCAAGGGACACTTTTTAATACACTGTGATGGTCCTCCTTACTTCTACCTCCATACATAAATGCGAATTTAAGAAAATCGTTTTAAAGAACACTGTTAATTTTTAGCCATTTTTAGTAGACGTATTTTACACTATTAGTGCGGAGTATAATTTTCAAAATGATATCTTGAAAATTATATCATTATAATTAATATAAATTAACTATAATGATAATAATATATAATGATATTATTTTTTTATTTTTTTAAGATATTAACAAAAAATATGATGAATTTACCTAAAAGTGTTTAGTTTGTCGACAATTGATGACAGGGGATTTTTCCTTAATGGTCCTGGTGATCCTCCTGGTGAATTATCTCGTGACTCGGCAGCTAGTGCTCGAGCCACCATTAAGTCCTGTTCGTTCAACATTCTGTAAATAATTATTAAAACGAATATTTGGTAAATTTTAATAAAATATCTAGTACTAATGACTCACGTTCGTCCCTTCGTGCGTTTTAACGATTAGTATAGATTTCTCAGAGATGAGATATTTTCCCGCAGTAAAAAGAATCCTAAATGTTGACTCGGATAACCAGCTGTCATCATACCAAATATTAAAATCTGACCAGTCGTTTTTCGTGATGCGTTCCCAGACAGAAAAAATTCTAAGGACTATAGCTTCAGCCGCTGTATCGATAGTAATGACTATTTCAATAAGATTTTCCAAAAAATATTTAATGTACAGATTCGACTAAGAATTATATTATACTAGCAGAACCCGCGGCTTCGCTCGCACTAAAACTACAAAAAAACTGCAAAGGTAGTTTTCATGCAAACTTTCATCCCTTATTTTACCTCCTTATGGGATGAATTTCGAAAAATGCTAAAACACGTATTTATTTAATTGTATTGAAGAGAATTAATACCAAGTTTCAAGTAATTCTAATCATAAATAATTTTTTGGGTTGTATTATAATGTGTGTTCCCGTGGAAATGAGATAGTCTCCCGTGGTAAAAAGTAGCCTATGTCACTCTCCAGCTCTCCAACTATCTCCACACAAAAAATCACGCCAATCCGTCAAACCGTTTCGACGTGAAAGAAGCACTAACAAACAAACACACTTTCACATTTATAATAATAGTATGGATGTACATATAGATAAAAATTATCAATATGAGTTTTTAGAACACGAAGTAACCGCTATTACCTACAAATATGTAGGTATATGTTGTATATTTCGAACGCTATTTTAAAACAATGACCTTTATTTAATTAGTTCTAAGTTACTATTATCACAGATCATATATCTAATACTATACAAGTAGCTATTGTATATCCCTCGCCTCGGTCCACTAAAATGCATAAAACTTGATGGATCTTTTTTCACCTTAACAAATAGTTGTTGTGTAACGGTATTAATAAAAGCTATTTACAGTCCTATTTGTTTAACAATAAAAGTTCTTTTTTGACATTTACGTCTATGAATACTTTGGATACTTTGATTTATATTTTTTACATCTACCTATCGATATTTTACCTAATTCACAGATCAACTAGTGACTATCGGCAGAGAACCTGTTCATCGTCTATAATTTATATGATCCAAAAGTTCCCTACAATTAGATTATGCCGCCCTTAAGTAATTTAATAACATTATAAAAGATTATAGTATCATTGCCCTTAAACAAATATTAATCCCTCAAAGACTTTACGTTAACTGTAACACCGTTACAGTTGACAATAGATTTCTTAGAAATTTACCTAATAAAGTAGTTTAGTGATAAACAAAGATGTCGCAAGACAAATCTCATAAGCGTCCTGCAATCCAAACGATACATATAGAAGTATCATAGGATAGCAGAGTCAACCATTGGACCAACCCCATTGTTGTTGTGAATGCTGAGCTGCCTTGGCAGGCCAACGGTCAGTGAGTCGTAGTTGAGTGAGTAAGCGATCCTGCGACGGGGGAGGTTCCGTTGGGTTTTAGTGGGTAATACTGAATTTTCTAGCTAATGAGTCCCGCATAATATGTACGCAGGTGGTATGCGTAAATGCATTTGACATTTCTTGACGTATAAATAAAAGGATAAAAATGAAATATATTTTGACAACGCATTTCTAACCAGGTCAACCTGTTGTTCCCTCCCAACGTGCGTTCACCTTGTCGTGGTGGGGGGGCTCAGTAGTGCCCGGCAATCCAACCAGGCGCGAAGCCAAGAAACGCACAGGGAGGTTGCTCACTTCGGTGGGTGGTGGGAGGTGGCCCTCTTCGGGGGGCGGTGTACCTTGCGGGTTGCTCCTGGTACTTCTCTTATAGCAGAGTGGACCTTGGAGCAACCCCATGGTTGTGGTGGTCTGCTTAGGCAGACCTGCCGTCGGGGCGTCGTAGTTGAATGCGTAAGCGATCCTGCGACGCCCCATTAAGACGGGGGAAGGTTTTGTTGGGTTTTAGTGGGTAGTACTGGCTGTATTGCGCCGGTGAGTCCCACACGTCGTGCGTAAATGCATTTCCCAACGTTAAAAAAAAAAAGGTCAACCTGTTGCTCCGTTACTTTGCGAAAACAGAAACCAACTCACATTCATATTTATTACATCGATCTATTATTACATTTAAAAATAAAATACCTATAGTATTTTATTACTGTAATAGTAGTATATAAGGAGTTACTTAACAATAACATAATATGAAAAAATACATCAATCTTTCTTTACTGTTTGCGATTTTCCTGACTAAGAGTTCGGAGCAAATTCATTGTGTAACATAATGTGATATACTTATTCACTAGGAGACTTTTGCCAACGTTCTTGATGCGTTCCTTCTTTTTTGTAATAGGTAACTACTAATTATTAAAATTTTCTAATAAACTGGCAAAAACTTTTGCTACATTACCTACGTTAGATCAAAATTAAGGATTGATCAGCTTTACATTAATCCATACTTTAATCATACTAATATTATAAATGTGAAAGTGTGTTTGTTTGTATGTTTGTTTGTCTTTCTTTCACGTTGCGACGGCTTAGCGGATTGGCGTGATTTTTTGTGTGGAGGTAGTTATAGGACTGGAGTGACATAGGCTACTTTTTACCGCGGATCTCCCTCTATCTATTCCCCATGGTAAAACATGTTAAAATACAATCCAAGAAAATATTTTTGATTCGAATTACTTGAAACTTGGTAGTAATAGGTACTCTTTAATAAAATTAAATAAATACGTGTCTAGCATTTTTCGAATTTCATGCTATAAGGGGGTAAAATAGGGGATGAAAGTTTGTATGAAACTACTTTTTTAGAGATTTTTTGTAGTTTTAGCGCGAGCGAAGCCGCGGATCCTGCTAGTATTATAATTAAAAATAATATTCTAGTGTCGCATTGACATAATCGAGTAGAAAATCGGCAAATCGTCACGAACAAACGACAATAATTATGTTTGATGAATATACAATTTTTTATATAATAAGCGTAAGCAATTTTGAACTTGTTTTTTGCAATTTATAACATAGTTAGTAGGTACCCAATAGGCAATAACTATACATAATTCTCAACTAACACTAAGATGACCTATTTAAACGAAAGCCATATTTGAACATTATTGAATGGACTTAATTACTTTTAATCAGGTACCTACCGCAGATAATAAAAATTAATCACTGATAAAATAGAAGGGGAGTTAAAAGATGAAATCAAAAATTATTTGGAGCTTGTTCTTGGCCCAAGGCGAACTCGTTCAAAGCTTCGCTCTAGCCACGAATTGAGACTAACATGTGCATAACAAATGCTAGAAGTACCTATCTTATAAATACGATCGATGAGTGTTATCTAGTTCTGACAAACAATTTATTTCTTAAAAAATTTTTTGTTATTTCCTGTTTAAGCAAAATCATGTTTGCAAAATAAAAACTTTCCTCAGTCAACAAAAATATCTTGTATACGAAATAAAATTCCTATTTACTATGAAGTTTAATGGTAATAAGGTTATATATAAATTTGTTTGTGTAGATTATTTATAAAAATAATGTAACAAAAACCTTGAAGAATATAATTTATCGTACATCTGTATATGTATAGTAATTGTATTGTTTGAAATATAATTGAATTATCACAATATCTAAGTATTATTTTGTTTTAACTCATTTTTGTATTTAAAGTAGTACTTCTTTATTATGGATTTTAAAATATATTTACAGTTTACGCTTAGTATGTATGTTTTTCTATTAGCTACTCTTATATGATAAAAAGTTGTAAATTTCAGGTATAATACTGAGGTGAAATACGATCATTTTTATTATAAATAATTTATTGATCTAATAAAATGTAAACTTACTTTCAATGAGTTGGACCTTTTTTAAGCCTCACAAACACATTCACATAACAACACTGATCATACGAAGGATTAAAAAAGCAATTTTTAAAAATAGAACCGTCACAAAGGTAAGTTGCCGTGCGCGCGTGAGTGCGATTTGTATGACAATGCGTGAGTATTTTCGCCGGGGGTCGGTGGGTTACACACAGCATCCTTCAATGAAACAAGTCACGGTCGAGCCTCTCACTTCATCAATGGCACCATGAAGATAATATATATGTAGTGCATGAAAAGTATTATCAGTTTATTGAATATAGTTTTATATTATTGATACAAATTAACTTTATTACCTACACTGGTTTCAGCATTAGTAAGCCTAAGTACGCCCGATAGCTTAATCCTTGACATTGTGAGGTGAAGCGCTCATGCTCAGTATCATGTGTTTTAAGTTATTTCACTTACGAATTCGATATAAATGAAGGTAATTAATGTTTCATTAACTTTGTTGATATAGTTTCAATAAGTATATATTGTTATCGGATTTTATTATGATTGATTTTGAGCTATAAATAGAATGTCTTTCAGCAATTCAAAGATTACACATTAGATATGTTTATGAAGAGTCGCAAAAAGAGGTTTTATCCAAAGTATTGATACGCAATTAAAACAATGAAATCTATTTATTTGTTCATAGGAAACTCTTTTGTCCATATGTTAAGAACTAATGCTGAGACAACACATAGGATGTACCGGATCAGCTGTCAACGGTTAGAGCACTGTGAGACTCTAGAAGTCTAAAATAACTCTGTTGTCACTATAAAGGGACGTCGTACAATCGCTTGGGAGTTGCGCACGCATTTCAATGCCTTCGTGAACCAGGCCCGAACCACGCGAGCTGTCTCGCCTTAATTAAGATAGATGGGTTTTAAAATAGTTTACAAGTGACAGTTTATATACTGAATGATAAGTAAATAAGTAAATATTAATAAATAAAAATAGCTAGCGGATTATATTATGGTAACAAAAAAAAATTAAATAAGATAATATTATGCCATCTCTCTTTCAAGGGGAAGAGAACAAGGTAATGCTTAAAAAAAGTCTTGGTGAATTTATCTAGCAACTCTTATGTGATGTGCCACGATATGTAACATCTATGTATATCTATACATATAATATTTATATTTATAAACATTTGACTGCTTCGGTGGTGTAGTAGCTAGCAAGTACGGCTGCACATCGAAAGGTCCTGGGTTCGAGTCCCGGGTCGGGCCAGGTTTAGTTATCGAGTTTATAAGCCTCAGTAACGTAAAGCCATCGGTCTTGCGCCTAACTCTCACCGGTCGTGTCGAGTAGTTGTTCCACCGGAGTATGAGAATGACAGAAATAGAGAGTGCACTTGTGACTACGCGTACACTTGTGCACTATAATATCTTCTGCGCAGTTGGCTAGTCTTAATGAAACTGGCCGCTTCAAAACAACAGATGGTCGCAAACGACAGACTGCAAGCAAGCTATATCAGCTTTGCCTGCAGTAAACCCACGTCTCACTAAACGCCTACTAAGCTTAAACAGAACCAGTCTCAAAATAATGATAGGGACAATAACGAGTAACTCTCCCTTAAATAAACACTTATTTAACATTGGCGCAACGGACAGTTCTTTGTGCAGAGGGTGTTTCAGCGCTATAGAATCAGTCGTTCACGTAGTCCTGGAATACGTAGCGGTAACTTCTCAACGTAACGAAATCCTCGGACCAATGAGGTCGCTCCGCGAAGCCTGTGAAGTTCCCAGAAAGCCTCTGCGCTTTTGGACGGAGTTAGACTGGCTAACCTAGCCAGGATTCGCAACGTACAACGTACGGAAAACGAGTCCAATATGATAAAATATGTGACAAAATAGGACTTCATTAAGTAATCTGGGGGTAAATAATGAAATTGTATCAGGCGGTATTAAATCAATCATGATTAATATTCTTAATGTATGTAATAAACTGGGTACGTCCCTAGTTGCGTTTCGAAAATTGTTTTTGTACCTTGAGAGACATGCTTTCGCGGATTTCTCTGTAGGCTTTTTTAAGACCTACAGTTTTCATTATTTTTACTCAACTGCGCGACCCAAAGGAGGGAAATGTGTTTATCAGCCTCTGTTTGTATGTATACATACATATGTACGAGAATGTCTCTACTGCATAATACTATATTCCTTCGTGAATTTATTTCCATCTATTTTAGGTAGCTTTTATGCAGTCGAGTTTTTTATTTTTATAATATACTAGCGGCTCACCCTCGCTTTGCTCGGGTTCGCCAAAATCAAATCTATCCCACGGAAATCGTACATTTTCCGGGATAAAAAGTACCCTATATGCTATTCCATACTTTAATCTATCTGTGTGCCAAATTTTATACAAATCCGTTTCATACGCCGCTCTGGCGTGATCGAGTACGAAACATCCAATTCACGTTTATATTACCTAGTGAGTTTTTTCATATTTAGCCAGCTTTTTTATTAGCTATGAAAATATACTCGCTACTTTCGTACGCTTACGTATAACACTGGCTGATGTGTTTTGACACCAGACTATCATAGGTCAGCCATCTTGTATGTAAATATTCGCAAATTATATACAAAAACCTTTCTCGTTTATCGATACTTCCCGTGGAAATGATCCCTAATTTTCCTGCAGTAAAATATGTAATACATACTAGCTATAGAGTCATGCTCGCTTCGCTTCGGGTTCGTCCCTAGACAAAAACAAATCTATCCCACGTTAACCTTATATGTTTACGGGATGATATATAGCATATAGCTTTCCTCAATAAACGGCCTATCTAATGCAAAAATAATTTTTCAAATTGGATTAGTAGTTTCTGAGATTAGCGCGTTCAAACAAACAAACAAAACTTTGCCTCTTTATAATATTAGTACATATGTATAGATTAGGTATAAAATAAAAGATCGTTTCAGAATAAGACCACTATTTTATTATGAAAGTAGCTACAAATTCTAAACATACCATATATATTTGTATGAGTTCTTACATTTATTCTCAATAACACTCGTTGAGACTTCTCAATTCCAGCAATTGACTTATGTCTAGGAGTAATCTAGTGTACATCAAACTCCGACGTCCAATACTAAAAGTATTCAAAATCTATAATAATTGTCAAATTACTATATATTTTCCTACAGTTACGTATATAATTATTTTATTTCATACGCGGCCACACCTGCACCACATCTAACAATAGTTGTACTAAATACACCGAAACTACAAATAAAATATAATTTTAAAGTTAAAAGAAAAAAATAATAAAATAAACACTTATGTATACTTGAACGACATTTGTATGGAAATATTTAAATATATTTATAGAGTGATGTTTAATGCATGTTCATACCACTATGAATAATTTCTACGTACTGTGCATTTGTTCAGCGTTTCGAGGCCTGTTATAAGTGACATCACGTCACACACAATCGAAAGCAACCGCCTACAAATCTCTATGAAATAGTAAAAATACATGTTACTTTTTTACGTATATTAATAAAAAAAAATAACTGGATAAAAGCCATATGCCAAATTCTTATTTTGAATATACTTAAAAATTAATTAAAATTTATAAAAAGCATATGACTATCTAAACATTAAAAAAATAAAACAATAAACCCAAAATATATAAAATCCAACTTAGACATAAAAAAAGATATGAATTATTTCATTGTATTACAACAACAATTCAATAACATAAAGCTTATAGAGTATTGCGTGTAAATCTAAAATTAATATTTAAGGAAAAAAAATAATTAAAATACGAACACAAATTGATTTAACATATTGACGTTAAACCTTTCAGTCTTGCTATTTTAGAACGTTCGTTACGTCACACCCGACACTGTCACAGGTCACTGCTATCGCGGGGCCACACGTTACTGATTCTCACTAAATTGCTTTTAAACTCCTAATATCAAGAGAGCATTTGTCGTAGAACTTTCCTTGAAAGGAGAGTTTAAGATTGTGCTCTATAAATGCATTTTACATCGTTTGTTAGGCTTGATACAGTCAACGCAGGTGGAATCCAGGCATTAGGTTCGGCCGATGGTCGAACATTCTCGATTGTCAACCACGAAGGGTTTCACACTTCGTAGTATTATTTAAATGGTGTTGTGCTTCGGACCAGAGTCCGTCTGCGCCGAGCTTAAAGCTGTGCTTCATTGTTTTGCCATAAGTTAGAAGGCAACGTGTCGTAGTGAGAGGGGACGGTGACCAACGCATCGTCGGTACTGCGGGTTATTGAACAGTTCTGCAAAGACAAATAATTTTTATTTTATATAGCAAATGAGGATAATTAAATATTTTCAGTAAAATTAAAACACTTGTCATTGAGTATATATTCCAAATCCGTCTACTCTTAAACTTATCCAGTTCATTGAAATATAAATCTAATAGGCTTTATTAAAACGTTCATTATACTAGTATTAATAATTTTATCTTTATTTATATTTAAAATATTATAACTTTAAATTATATGATACGTTATCAGTCTCATGTAAGTAATCATGTTTAATATTTGCTCATAAAATGACGACATCCATTCGTCTTTTTGTTTAATGTATAAAATATCTACATAAATTAAAATTCAATAAAATACATATGTATATAACGATATATAAAATTGAAAACAAATTAAAAAAAATATCATTTTAGCCATTCAATACAAATATAATATACTGCTATGTGATTAAAATATTCTTCTAATAATATACCTTGGGCTGTTTGCGATGTGTATCCACGCATTCAATAGGGAGCTTGATCATTTCTACTTTATACTTGTAGCCGTAGGATGTAAGCTTTACTATGGTGTGAAGCGGCACATTCATGTAAGGTAGCTCATCTGCAAAATAAGAATAAAAACAAATTGATTTATGATGATGATGCCGGCCGATTCCGGCCACGGCGGCCAATCTCATTGAGACTAGCCAACTGCGCAGGAGATATTATAGTGCACAAGTGTACGCGCAGACACAACGTGCACTCTCTATTCCTGTCACTCTCATACTCCGGTGGGACGACCACTCGACACGACCAGTGAGAGTTAAAGTGCAGGACCGACGGCTTTACGTGCTCTCCGAGGCACGGGGGTGAAACACCGCTAACTTCCCAACTCCGGGCTGTTACTGAGACGTACTATACAGAAAGACTCAATACCTAATTTGGCCCGACCCGGGACTCGAACCCAGGACCTCCGAGTGTGCAGCCGTACATGCTAGCCGCTACACCACAGAGGCAGTTAAAAAAAGTGATTTATAATAGCTTTATAAACTTCCATTTATGTAAATCACGCCGTACGGCAAATAGTAGTAGGTAGAGTCATAAAAAGTCATAAAAGTATATAGTCTAGTATAGTGTAAACAAATATATTTGTAAGATTAAGCTCAAATGATAAGTAAAATTACTTCTAAGATTAGAAAATATACCTATGAAAACTAGATGTTTTATTCTAGAAAAGACGTTTCGGTTTGCTTCATTATGTAAGTTTTATACAACTGTCGCTTTCTAGGTTTCTCTCTTATATTATTGACTAGCATTGCCCGCGGCTCCGCCCGCGTTCAGATGTCCAAAAACCAAATTCTTAGATTTACCCATGAGTATACTCTTACATTGCATTACATATATTTTTTTGTCAGTAATAAGACATTTTCCCGCGGTAAAAACTATCCTATATGTTGACCAGGATAACCAGCTATCACCATACCAAATTACATCAAAATCCCTCCAGTGGTTTTTCTGTGATGCGGTAACAGACAGACAGACAGACAGACAAAAATTCAAAAAACTATAGATTTGGACTCTGTATCGATAATAATGTATATTTCAATTAGATTTTCCAAAAAATATTTAATGTACAGATTCGACTTAGTTACAATTTTATTATATGTATAGATGATGACGTTATTTGGTTAGATGTGTACTATAAAAAGATGTAATCAATCAAAACATTCATGACAGCGTTTATTTTTAGGGCGCTTGAGATAAAAATATATGTTTAGTAACATAGATGACACTATTTCATTGTGCAAGGTTATAGAGTAACAGGATGCGATTTAATCGGAATTTTATCGTATATTATATACGTAATACGATATTTAATTATATCGTTTACGGATAAATAAGAAAAAATATAATTATATCTCCATGTTTGTAGATACATACGGCATTTTCGAAAGTTTGTAACGATAGACGATTTTTGGTATACTGGTTAGGAGCTAAAAAATAAATGTAGAGTTTTAGGATATGTCGCATCTTATAATCATTTAATAGCAATTAATAAAACTATCTCATAAAATAAACTTACCAAGTTTAGCATCCAAGAAATATCCCAACATGCACCGCAGTACCGCCTGATGGCCCACAACGACCACATTATGCTCATCTTCCAAAGCAGAGAGAACTGGGCGTAATCTTGTCATGATGTCGATGTAGGACTCTCCCCACGGGTAGCGGTAGCGCAACTTGTCTTGATCACGCCAAGCGAACTCCTGAGGAAAACGCTCCTGCATCTCCTCGTAGGTCAACCCTTCACAAATACCCTGTTGAAAAACAAATTAAATATTCATAACATAACTGTTAAATTGTAAAAAAGATATATATTTACAGTCTCACCTATGAACATGTTTGTTGTAGAGCATTCGAAATGTCGATAATCAAAAAAAAAAGGGGAGAAAAACACATCTTGAAAATTATCGTACTTTATGGGAAATCATTAGTATTTACTATTTTTCATAAATAAATTAGTTATAAATATGTGTGTCATAATTATGTATAGTTCAAATTTAAATAATGAAGGGTTCATTAATCAATTATAATTACACTAATCCATACCTACTAATATTATAAATGTAAAAGTTTGTGAGGATGGATGGTTTACGTTTGTTACTAAATCACGCCAGAACGGCTGAACGGATCTGGATGAAATTTGACACAAAGATATATTATAGTCTGGAACAGCACATAAATTTTTATCCCGGAAAAATATACAGTTCCCGTGGGATAAGTTTTGCTTGTGACTAAGGAAACGAGGTGAGTCGCTAGTATTTAAAAAGAAAACGCAGCGCATAGATTTTTCGCAAAGTATTTTTTCCGCACTTTTACCCGACTGCGCCAGAAAGTGGGTTAAGTTTTCCGAGTGTATATATATTTCTTTGACACGCTCTGTAGCCTAAACGGCTTGATGAGGTGTCCTTAGATTCGCTTAATTGTGAGAGTCAAACTGGGTATATCAAAATTATAATGGCCGATTTTTGGCGCCATATTATGATGAGCACAAATGCTAAAAATGACAAATAAAAAAAATATTTACAAAAATAGAAAAACCCGACTAGCGTAAAAAGCGAACTAAAAATATGAAAACAAGCTGACAAAGGAAGGTAGTATTATGTATTCGGAGACACACACACGCAGCTATGATAAAACATTAAACATGTACATTGTACATATATGTATGTCCTCGACTGCATAATACTGTTCCTTCGTCAACTTACCCAGTTGGGTTTTTTATTTTTGTAAATATATATTTTCCCAGTTGATATCGTAATGCTTATTTGGATTTTCCTTAAGTACTTTCCACGAACGAATTGAAATCTCGAAGTCTATCGTAGCTGAAAATCGCTGTATATTTTGTTCATCGTGTTCTTGTAATCTAGCCAAAACGCTGAGTAATTCGCAGATTAAAAGTGATGTGAATGAACCAAAATATCAAGAGTTAGATATTTTTATTTCAATGTCAATGAGATAATAATTGAATCTGAAATTTAAACGACTATTTTTTTTCAGATCTTCAGCTAAATAAACGCCGACTTACTTACCTATTAATTAATTAAATTGTTGTACCTATTAATGATCATATAACGTATAATTTATTATAACTTTTTAACTAGTTTTAAGAGAAGTCACTGTTCATTATCTACATTTATTGTATTTTGAGCCTTAACATTTTATTTTCATCACAACTAATTTGCGTGTATATTAAGATATATTTAAATAGAATAGTATCGTTTCCTCCATCATAATATTGCGTTGTTTGACTATTTAAATAGTTAGTATAGTACGTACTACGATGGCGGGTATAGGTTTAATTCCAGCATCGAGCGAAAGTTTATATTAATTATAAGTATGTAATTTCAGGCAAAAGGCAGTGGAGGACCAGTGGTATAGTGACCAGTGATATAGTGGCGCTCGCTTGGGAAACCGAGTGAAGCGTGTTCAAATACCGGGTCTCGCACCTCTGATATTTTCATTTGCGAATCAATTCTAACATGATATTACTACCTTACGGTGAAGGAAAACATCGTGAGGAAACCTGCATGAGAGAACCTAGCAAGTTTCCGAAAGACATGTGAAGTCGCCAACCCTATGGCCTGATCCCCCTGGTATTGTAGGGAGGCCCGCGCCCAGCAGTGGCACGTTACAAAGGGCTGAATACGTACATACATATAATTAAAGTATGAAGACAAGTACATCTTTCGTTAAAGCATATAACATGCTATATAATATTGATTCTAACTAAATGCGGAAAACGGAGTGAAGAGGCAACGAAAGTATGTAAACATGATGTCAATTAAAATATATTATATACTTAAATAAAAAGTGAAATGTTTCATTTTTTAACTATCTAATAATGATGTTCTCCTGACCGATTCCGGCTACGGCGGCCAATGTGATTGAGACTAGCCAACTGCGCAGGAGATATTATAGTGCACAAGTGTACGCGCAGACACAACGTGCACTCTCTATTCCTGTCACTCTCATACTCCGGTGAGACGACTGCTCGACACGACCAGTGAGAGTTAAGGCGCAGGAACGATGGCTTTACGTGCTCTCCGAGGCACGGGGGTGAAACACCGCCAACTTCCCAACTCCGGCCTGTTACTGAGGCTTAATATACAGAAAGGCTCAATAACTAACTAACTCGAACCCAGGACCTCCGGGTGTGCAGCCGTACATGCTAACCACTACACCACCGAGGCAGTTACAACTATCTAATATACCTATATAATAACATCATATTTTTTATGTCAAATATTGCTTTATCACCTATATCGCTTTATTATTATCAATAATATAATTAATTAATTAACATGGGTGTATTGCGACGAAATATTAATTGTTTATCTTTGCTAATACAAAACAGGAAAATATTTATTTTGTTACCACGACGCCTTTTATTAACAGATTTTTTTTTTAAATAATAATAATTAAAGGTACATGACTTTAGTCATTCAGCAAAGACTTTTATTGATTAATATTGATTAGATATACTTAATACTTTGTCTTTACAATACCTACTGAATATCTTACAGATATACGAGTACATATATCGTCCTAAGAACTGATAATCAAAAGTTATTGCGATGACATCATATTTACACAAACAATGAAAACAGGAGTCGATAAACTAACAATTAAAATAATAGTAAAATATGGTGAAGAATAACATAATCTATGTTATCAAGCAATATTATGTTTGAAATTATTATTAAGATTTCTACGTAAATATGTAGGTATCTACTATAAATTTACCAAAATTACGGATATACATATGTGAAGAGCAAGGTTAAAATGCAAATGAACTATAAGTACCTATAAATTAATTGTAAATATTATAATCTGTATAACCTGTATGAATATTATTATGGATGTTTGTTACTCTTTCACGCCAGAGCGGCTGAACGGATCTGGATAAAATTTGGCACAGAGATAGATTATAGTCTGGAATAACACATAGGCTACCCTTTTTATCCCCGAAAAATGTACGGTCCCTGTGGGATAGGTTTGTTTTTGTTTATTTTCTTATAACATGCCATTGTCCTACTACATTTGTCATGTATGTACTTATGCAGATAGATCTCTTAATTTTTGTGACCCGTCAACTACTTATTCTTATATTCTTTCCGTTTTTTACAAAATCTTTTGACTTTTTACTCCTTTAATATAACCTTTTAGTTTTCGTGGTTATTGTTAAAAAGGTCTTCAATGACCATATTAGAGTAGTTCAAAAGATTTGAGTTTGAATGAATTTCTTCATAGTTCCAATTCTTCACGGATTGGTCAAGACCTAGTTAGAAAAATTGAGTGAAGATAAAAAAATATCATTTCACATAATAAGCTGCGTACTTTTAACAATTTTATATAGAATATATCTTGATATTAATAAAATGATTCATTATAGTGTGAGAATGTTGTAATAATAAAACGTTTTTTACTAAGTAGGTACCTAATGAGGTCGCGTTCCACTTTTATACTTTTGTTGAAGTAGTGAATCTAAGTTTGTTGTAAGAGGAAATTTTTATTTTAAATCTTTTCGGATTTTTTCGCGAATTTATTTTGATTTTTTGTTCCCGACGTTTCGAATGCTTTACAGCAATGATGGTCACGGAAGAGACTAAGGTGTTACATAAGGTATTATATAGTTGTAACAAATATTTAATACTTATTTAGTTGTTCAATTAGAAATATACAAATAAGCAAATCATTATACAAAAGTGGTACATGTAACATCATGTATCGACATACAAATTGAAATTATTATAATTGTCACTTCTTTCTAAATATCTAATATGAAATTTCACAATTTCTCATTTATAACATCCATATATTATCTCTAAGCTATGATGATATAATTCTCCTGACCGATTTCGGCCACGGCGGTCAATCTCGCTGAGAATAGCCATAAGCCACCTGCGCAGGAGATACTAATTACTATAGTGCACAAGTACACGCGCAGACACAAGTGTTGTTCTGTTACTCTTACACTCTGGTGGGATAATTCGACATGATTAGGCGCGGGAATAGCTTTACGTGCACTATTCAACTTCAGGCTGTTATAGAGACATTCTAAACAGAAAGATTCAATAACTAAACTTGGCCCGACCCGGGACTCGAACCCATGACTTCTAGATGTGCAGCCGTACACGTTAGCCACAAAACAATTGAGGCCATGCCTCAGACCTCATACCTCAGAAATATGTATAAGTAATATAAACTAAACAACATTCGAACCCTCAACAGCGCATAGCTCTAACACTACTATAACACATCGATATTATATTTGTTACCTTTTCATGTTCAGGTATATTACATTTGAGTAAAATCAAAACAGAAATTGTTTTAATCAACAAATAAGCGCAAAAACTATCAAGCAATACTCACAGCATCCAACTCATTGAGAGCTCGCACAGCTCTCTTGGGAGCCAATATCTCAGCGGCGGTCTGCTTGGTGCGGTGCAGCTCGGACGTCCACACGCTGAAGGGCTCGTGCACGGCCAGCGCGTTCACGTGCTCGGCCAGCGCGTGCGCGTAGCTCTGCCCGCGCGGGGACAGCGCCGCGTCGCCGCCGATACGGCCCAGCACGTTATACTCGCTCTCACCGTGCTGTTAACATTAAAGCGTATGTTATACACGTATTGTAAATACACACTAGTGTAATAATTCATTCATGCTCAGTTTGTAGTGACCCTACTTGCTGTGCCAGCGGTCGTGGGTTCGAGTCCCGCTGGAGGCATTCATTTGTGTGATGATCACGAATGTTTGTACGCCAGTCATAAAGTTATATATGTATAGAGTGCATCAACTATCTGGTATCCATAACACAAGCCTCGTAGTTAACTAGTAGCTAACATTGAACTAGATGGTGCTGTGTGTTAATGTCTCAACATATTTATTTATTTATTTTGTTTATGATTTTAGAGTTCATACAAAATTTTATAGAAAATATAACGCTAAGTTATTTTACACTAAAAAGTCAAAAAACGTTATTCGGAGTATAAAGAATATTAAAAAAACAAATTAGCTAAATAAGTCTAGCCGTGAAAAGCTTATCCCATCAAAAACATAACATGTAAAAAAATGCAAGTCTCGAAACGCAGTTCTTTTACCGCAAAAAGTTTTGAGATATAATATAAAATCAAGTCGGTTCATTTGTTCAGTAGGTACCTATCTATGCAAGCATCTATCCAACAACTTCGTCATAAATTGTTACCTAAGTAGTTAAATAACAACATTTTATAGTGACAGTGTCAATATTAGATACCTTTCTTTATTTCCTTCTTTTATTTTTTTAATAAATAGTATGACTTGGCCATCGCACACGGCAATAAAATCTACAAATAACAAAATGCACCTAATTTAAGCGTTCTGAGCGCATTATTTATGTTTATGTGTGCATAATTTTAACACGCTAGCGGTATATTCAATAAGAACTATTATTAGGATATTTCATTTCTATTTATATAATTTATAAAAAAATACCTTATATTTTCACACTGAGAAAAAACTGATAATTTTTGTTTAATTTACTTGCGATATTAATCTATTTTTCTACTTACATGTTTTAAAAGACCCATAATATTCTCTGGCACATTACAATTCACAATAAAGTAATGGTTCCAAATAATTTAAGCAATATACACTTTTAATATTTTTAAATATGTGTAAACAATTTACTAAATTTATTTAAATTTTATTGTTTAAAAATTATTTATTTAAAAAACATATTTATTCTGTCTCAATTGTGAAATTATTTGTTTAAAAGATAACAAGTTTTTTGAAATCTTAAAGTACATACCTAAATAAAAAATCCAATAAAAGATTAAAGTTCAGTAATCCTGATATAACATGTACCTAATGTTTAAAAAATAAAATGGAAGAATATTCTTATTATGAAAACTATTAAACAACAAAACGTATCGCCATATTCCAGCAAAAATCGCAGCTTGTTTAAATAATGTGTTATCAATTATATATAAGTACTTGTTTTCCAAACCATGTTTATATGAACTAGAGTTATATAAATAACTTGTTTACGGATTTTCGCTAGACCAATCGATACTTACAGGATATGTAATATAATTATGTACATACATATATCACATTTATAATAATAATTAAAATAATCAACAACCTACTATAGATAAGAATTTAATATCATAAGTATATATTATAATACCGAAAATGTATTAATTATCAAAAACTTAATCATATCTAACTCAAAATAAAGATATCAGATAATATATTTGTTATTTATATAAGAATAATCCTAGTAATAAGCTTACCCGAGTAAAATAAAGAGTTTGAGGGAAGGCTCTCATTCCGGACAAATAGCCCAGAATGCCAGATTCCTTCTGTCCAGAGACTTTGTGGGCTGTCACAGTTTCTCCCATATTCTCTACGCGCACAAAGTTAATATTTTCCAAGGTAGCATCAATAGGTTCATATTGACGCATGTAGTGCTCTAACTTCTTCCTCAGGTCATCGATGGCCTCTTCCTCGCTCATTGTCTTGTAATCAGCGGAATAGTGCAGTATTTCAATGATATTCCTTTCAAGCAACTCTTGGTCTTCGCAGACGCATTCAATGAATAAAATCCTGAAACCCATATCGGAGATACAATAGTCGTGTAACTCGCGACGCTGTTCTCTTGTTATGTTTGTGCCGTCGAAGATCTGTAACAATGTAAAAGAATACTACGTTATGGTAAAATCATGATAAAAGGATTTAAAGATCCTCCTAAAGCTTATCCTGAGGAGCTTTAACACTATTTTTATCTATAACTAACTGCCAACCCATTTGGTTTTTTTTTAGATATAACTGCCGATTTCTGTGAACTGCCCTAAAGTTTTTGGTCCCTAGTTCTTTAAAGGTTGACGTTTAAAAAATCAAAAACTTTCTCATTTTCATTGTTTCGATACTCATTTATCACGGCAAGTATCTTCAAATATTGTAAAAATCTAAAGATAATTGTAGTTTATTTTGATAATATCCTTTGATTTTATGGCACAACATCATTGTTGCTAATAAAATTTTATTTCTAACTGCAAAATAAACAAGTGCCAGTATCCTGGGAACTACATTTACCATTACACATTTGACCTTGCCCAATAAACATTCTACATAGGTTATTTACTTCAATATAATTCCTACCGAAAATAGAACGTATTAACTGTTAGAATTAATCAAACTAAAGTAGCTTTTAGACAATAATTGCGCAATTCTTACATTACTAAGATTTCATAACAAGAGTAATTGATCTTAATGATAAATTGTTTTTATTGAAAGTTTTCCACAATCGTCATAGAACGCAGCACGTACTATATAATAAATAGATATTATCAATATCTTAATTAATAATAATCATTATCAATTCTTGGACTTTAGTTAAAGTGTAATAACATAAAGATCTAGGGAGATAAATAAGTATTGTAAATACTAATGTGTCATTTAGGGTTTCCTTATTTATGTAGGTACTTATAAGTAATTGGAGATACTCTGACAAATCTTATACATACAATATACATACATGATCAAACAAAAGAATAAATATTTTCTATAAAAGTAACATGGTTCAATTGATAACGTAACCATCGTATCTTTCATAGAAAAAAAATCATTTCTTAATGTCATAACTAATAAAGTAAGTAATATTTTTAAGAAATCTAAGTGTAATAAGGTAGGCTTTATAGGTATGTATATATTTTGAAGTAGTTTTTAATAAATTTTTCTAGAAATGGTATACATACAGCAACGCTGTTCCCTTCTTTGAGCCACAGCACAGCATCCTGCACAGCCTCACGGGCGCTCTGCCGACGGATGGCAGACCCTTGCTGGTTGTCAGCACGGAAGATATCATGACTGCCATACAGCGCCATATGCTTGCGGCGGTACTCACTGCAGTCGAACACTAAAAAAAATATATATTGTGTAAATTTTTTACATGGTAAATTGGCAGTGTTTCTTAGGTGTTATCATTTCAAATAATGTTCATCCACCCTAGTTTTAATAATGTCAGTAATTATTAATAAATATTTTCGATATACAGGTGCATGAGTCACAAGGTTTGAATATATAAAGTGACACAGAGGCCAAGTACTTTGATGCACACAAGTATAATTTATTATCTGCAATACGCATTTGCTTCGCCAAGTCTCATAGGGCTAAGGCCTAAAGCCCTAATCAGGCTTACTCTTATCACCGTACGGCCTTTACAGATTTACAATTACATAATTTGATATATTATTTCTAAAACTAAACAATATATTTCTTTGCCATACCGAATTATAATAAATGGCAGATAGTGTAGTATTTTACTTGATACTATTTAAAGATGTAGGGCATTTCGTAGGCTAATAATAAAGATAGTATGCCAGACATGTTGAGATAACTAGATAATACATTTTCAAGCAGGCCAAGGTGTAACATTATCAAGTCTGCCTCCCCATATATGTTGAGTTTCAATATACCTATAACAAATTAGTTTTGTAATAATCCTATAGTACAACATAAAGTCACTCTTGAAGTTTCGAATCACATATCATAATATTTATTAAATAAAAAAAAATAAGCTAACGAGGTCGTTGGTAATACATAACCTCAACATTACATTCTGTTTATTATTTAAATTATAATGATAAGTGGCAGTCTTGTCGGTTTTATCTAGTAAAACAGAGTATTATATACCTTTTGTGCTTTCTCCATTCCAATTTAGATGTCTAGATAGACGGTGAGCTAGCTGACTCTTGCCGCGAGCGGGCAAACCAACCAGCGCGATTAGCAAAGGTGCAAATTGGCTAATGCGGCGCCTGCGCATAGAAACTGTAACAAAAAGAAAATACAATAAAATCTATGTTGATTGTTATTCAATTAAAAAGGAAGAATATGAGTATTGCAAACCTCGATAGGTCATGCACATTAAAACATAGTATAATTTTAAACTTAATGTATGTATATTTAGAAATCTACTCACTGGATTTTAGCATATATTCATAATACATCACACTCATTGTCACAAAATATTTGCAAGAATTTTAGATTAAATAATAATGTGTTTGAAATACAAACGTTTAATGTCAGATTATTATTAGTAATGAATTTTGTTTTTCTCGGACGTGGTTATATATAAGGGAAATAACAACGTCACCTCACATCTTGACCTCCTCATATCGTTGGGTCAAAAAGCTAAGCTTTTCATCGTATTATACGTTATAATGTCGTTTGAAAGTGTAAATACAAAATTATTCCATCAATGAGTAAATAGAACAAATATAGTATCCATGGACACGTTTGCTGAGCGTGTAAATCTGCATTATTAATATGTAGTATCAGCTCGATTTTATTTTAGAACCACAGCCGCTGTGTGAGATTCGTTCCAATGATCCATACAGAAAAATATCGCCAATTTTAATACAGCAGTGATCACAGTGAAACACGAGTGTTTTTATTCAATTTGAAACGTGATTTTCTATCAATGATGATAATATTTGTTTCGCACTTTACCTGCTAACAACATTTGCTTGGCAATATCAAGTTTAAATCATCAGACATAATCTTTCTATTTACGATGTTACTGATTAAATTAAAACTTATCGAATGATGCACAAAACAAGTAAAAATATTTTTGATATTTTGGTAGAATTTTAAACTAAATTTATATTATAAGAAACGATGAAATAATATTGAAATAAAAGAAAAAATAACAAGTATCAAAAAATCTTCATTTTCAATTCGTACAACTCCTTACAATTAGGTATTGTTGAAAAGCGTACCAATAATAAATTAAGACCATAAATTGTTAAGTATTTAATAAAATTAAATAACTTTTAAATGTTCAATTTTTACACTTTTAAAATTCAAATGTCAGTATGTAAGTCCGTGCGAATCTACCGGTTTGAAAGTTCTGTTGAGAAGAGACGAGAAACTCAACACAACTCAACAAACTTGATTACATAATTTATATCATTATACATTTATAGGCATAGTTAATTTTACGTCATGGAAACATGTAGTGTACTAAGTATGTAGTATTTAGTTAGCAAGGTAGCTCATAATAAAATGAAAAATTAAAAAAAAACCCCTACGCAAATTAATTGTCATTAATTAATGATTACACTGGCACGTTGAGTAATCATACGCCAAAATGTCTTAAATCATTTTGGAAAAGAGCTGATACTCTTACACTGCTGGACCCAATTTACCAAACACAGCTAAGAACCACTGCAAGGAAACTGGCTTTGAAATGAAAAAAAACGCATTGAAATCGGTCCATCCGTATGAGAGCTACGATGCTACAGACAGACACACACACACACAGACATCGACGCCAAACTTATAACACCCCTCTTTTTGCGTCGGGGGTTAAAAAGAAATGATAAAATTAATTGAGATAAGTGAAAAAGCATTTCATTACCCCTATTTTTTTAATAATTAATAGGTAGTTAACACATATTATTTTATTAAAATAAAACTATCTTTTCGAATTTTTTCGCGAATTCATTTAGATTTTTAGTTCCCGACTTTTCGAATGCTTTACAGCAATCATCCTCTCCATCAGTCTCTCCCGTGACCATGATTGCTGTAAAGCATTCGAAACGTCGGGAACCAAAAATCAAAATGAATTCGCGAAAAAATTCGAAAAGATAGTTTTATTTAAAATGTCAAGTATTCGCGTAAAGCTAAGAAAGTATTACATATTATTTTATTATCATGATATTGCTTCAAAAGCAGACTTGCAAAAAACAAAACTGCTTCGTTTCATTACAATTCGTCCTACATGTTGCACAGCACAGGTCAGCCCGACCTTAGTTTACAGCGACGAGAAAACAAGTCATATGGCAGAAATGGCCAATAAAAACCGTGTATGCGGACGCGCCTTCTAGTTAGTTTTCCAAAGCAAAACAAGCAAGATTACGTCACTAAACTTGACACGCCCTAAAATGTATATATAGTGATGCGATAAATATTAAATTTTCATTTTTATGAAAAAACATCATTTGTGTTTGACGTAAGCACATTAATTTAATTTATAAGGTGCTAAAATAGTATGAAAATATTATAAACTTACTAAATTACAAAATAATCAATACTTAAGATAAGTAAATTTGGATAATACCTATCTCTAAATTTAGTGTCATCGATCTCATTAGTTATAGGTAGGAAGATATAACATAATTGATTGTGGAGTAGGTACGAGAAAGGTTACCAATATTATATTTTAGTACAATAAAACAATACAGATTTATTTACTCAATTAGATCGTTAATCTATGCATATAATAAAATTGTAACCAAGCCGAATCTGTACATTAGATATTTTTTGGGAAATCTTATTGAAATAAACATTATTATCGATACAGAGGCAGAATCTATAGTTCTTAGAATTTTTGTCTGTCTGTCTGTCTGTTACCGCATCACGGAAAAACCACTGGAGGGATTTTCATGAAATTTGGTATGGTGATAGCTGGTTATCCGGGTCAACATATAGGATACTTTTTACCGCGGGAAAATATCTCATTTCTGAGAAAAAAATACAAAAACTGTAATTTAAGAGTATACGAATATGTAAAACTTAAGAATTAATTGGTTTTTGGTCATCTGAACGCGGGCGGAGCCGCGGGCAATGCTGGTAGTAAATATAAATAAAAGAAAGTCGGGTTAGTTACACCATTTATAAGTCAAGAACGGCTGGACCGATTTTTATGATCTTTGATTTGTTGGATTTGTCTCCGCCCCGAATAGCAGAATAAAAGCTATAATGACATCGGATAATTCACAAAAAAAATATATTAAAATGTACCTATATGGCTAAAGCTGGCAAATAACTATTTATATCTATTTAAAACGTACCCAGTACTTAGTAGTAGATATATTTGTGTTTATAGATAGCAAATCCATGCGAACGAAGTCAATGTCACAATAGGAAGGATAATGGTAACTAAATATAGATAGATATTCGTTTATGTAATAAGCCTTTCGTCACGTTTTATATAATAAAAACACGTGTTTTAAATAGAACGTATTATAAATACAGATAACTGTAAACATTCACGTAAAGTAGACACAAACAAGATAAAAATCGTATTAAATGCAATAATTATTGATTTACGAATAACGAGAAATATTATCTTACAGTATTGAAACAGCCATAGTGTGAGTTTCTTCTTTTCTTATACAAATAAACAATAAATACTTTCAATGACAATCTATACAGATAAATAAAATTGAAGTGTCTATCTGTTTGTTCCGACTTATCTCCGAAACAGCTGGACTGATTTTGACGGGAGTTTCACTGGCAGATAACTGATGTTGTAAGGAGTAACTTAAGCTACTTTTATTTCAGAAGAACAATTAAGGTTCTGCTCAAAATTTTAAAGATAAACCTGAACGCACCCGAGGGTAAGTCGATAATAAAAAAATTAAAATTTTGAAAATTAATTGAAAATAAGATCTACTGATCTTATAATCTTGTCTAAAAGTAAAGAAAGTCTTGTTTTGAATTCAATTTAACAATGAATGGCCATTGGCCTCTTTTGTGTTTATAGATAATATACTTATTTTATGCTCATGCATTATTATTTACACGTGTCGCAGAATGTAGGTAGGTAGGTTTAGCTTTATTGCTTTAGTAAAATTAAAATTACCATTTGTGTCGATCATAAACACAAATTAAGATAAACTCAAAAGTCCTTAATATAATAAATAACCTTAATATAATGCAGTATAAAATTTCACAATGATTTATATTTTATATCATCTATCATATTATCTTATCCCGAATCTTGACGATGTAGTCAATTAATCAGCTTACAATCGATAGAGATAAAATAATAAATAATTCGGGAATAAAAAATACACTAACAAACATCTTAATAAGTTTTTATAATCAATATCAAATTTTTATAATCAAAATATTTAATATTATTATAGTAATAGTTTAACGAAATATGTTCAATGTACATAGCTAATGCAACTAAAGTAAAACATGCGCGGCTCCCGCGCGGTGAATGTTCGCGTGCCAACAACTGTTGGACTTTGGACACTCGTCAAGGAAACGTGCATCTACTTGAAGACAGTTTAACTCTAGACCTACATGGGTTAAAAAGATTTATTTACCATTGTTACATAACTATTTTTGTCAATTGTAACTTAAAATAAACAAACGCATTGAGAAATCGACCTGGATATTTATTGTTCTTTTAGCCTTATTTATTATTATATATGCTAATATTGTATAATTAACTAGCGACTCACCCTCGCTTCGCTTGGATTTGTCAATAGGTTGATTCCTCATGCAAACTTTCATCCAAATTTTCACCCCTTAAGGGATGATTTCCAGGATCAAAAGTATCCTATGTTTTTCCCAGGGTCTCAAAATATCTTCTTACCAAATTTCATCTAAATCGGTTCAGTAAATCCAGAGATTACCCCCTACAACGTCACAAACTCACAAACTTTACCTCTTTATAATATTAGTATAGATTATATATTATATACACAACAAACATCTGTTGTCTGGTTGAACTTGAAATTCATCGTCTTTCTTTTATTACATTTTACACTTCTCCAAAAGATTTCATTGTATAAGACAAGACACATTATGGGCAAGATATAAATAAGGCTCAACAGATATTAATGTATAGCTTTCGTATATCTAAAAATTTTCGTATACTTTTTTTTTAACAAACAGTCGATAAACCTATTTGCATTGGATCGTACCACGACGAATTACGTGCTATTAATAGCAAAGTAAACTCAGAACGGGCAGAAATAAAAATATGGGCATACTTATGTTCAAAACAAGAAAATATATAAATAAAAGTA